AGAAGTAAATAAAGTAGCTAATATTAATAACGCGTCGATGGTGTTAAGGTGTGCGGGGTCGGGGGGTATACGGGGTAGTGGTGAAATATGTTAGAAGACCGGGTTCCGGCGTTTTATAAAGCTATGTCACTCTTAGCACCTCATATGGGCTGGACAAGCGATCAGTGTGTTAATGGGATATGGAAAACTGACGCCAGCCGCCAACTTTTGTGGAAGAAAGACAAGCCTCTGACTACTCAGGAGAATGAGGAACTTAGAGCTTCTGCAAAAGAGGGAAAGCTTGGACCATCGTGGTCTTGGGCGACCTTACCTGGCGGAGTTATCTATGATACTAGTTCATGGCTTCGAAAACTGGGCGGTAGTAGTCCAGCAATCGAATTCCAGAAGACTGATGACCAACCGCCATGCCTCACGATGGAGGGTCTAATTAAGGAAGCCGACTGGATTGAGAATTATACTGTCAACCAATCAGCCGAGGTTACCCACTTCTTTCAAGTTGATCTGGACGTCGAAATGCCACCACAGCCAGTATTTTTGCTTGATTTGTCCGGATCCAAGACATCACCATTTAGTGTGGGGTTAGTTCTGGTAAAAGCTCCAGGATATCTGACTCGATTTCAAAGGCGTGGTCGCTTCGAGGTTATTAAAGCTAACCCAGATGGCTCACATATACTCTTCTCAAACAAAGGTGAATTATCGAAGACAATTACAATAGACTAGTTTTTAACTTTAATTTTTATGAGAAGATTGTTTTACACTTTAGAACCTGTTTACAGATAAAACACCTGTCTTATTATTTAAAGCTTATATCATATTTACGTTTAATAGATTAGCCCTTAGACCATGGGATAACCTACCCTCTTGATAGAGCTGGCCCAATAGCAGTTATCGCAAGACAATATTCAGCTGTCTATTAACTATGGTTGAGGAAAGTCATCCAATTTTAGCGCTTGGATCTTACTCTCTGCTACAAGCAACAAAGGATCGATGAAACTCTTCAGAGAACAGCTGTGTTGAACAAGCTTCTTGGGCGCGTCTTTATTCTTAGCAGGAGCTGAACTAGACGGTTCGCTTGTTTGAGACACGGTCCTTCCCCCAAAAATCCCCACAGAAGGAGCTGTGGTGCCAAAGGTAGGTTGAGATGATGTGTTTCTACCAAAAAGTCCACCGGTTGTTTGGGGGGTAGTTGAAGTGCCGAACAGGGAAGCAGGTGGAGATGCTAGCTGCTCTTGTAATAGCCATGTACCCGAATGTTTTCCTTCGAGGCTCCCTTTTACCGAACTGTAATACATCGATGGCTGCATGTCGCGTAGAGAACAGATAATTGAGTCGAGTCTAAGCGAGTAAAAGGGAGATTCCGGTCGTGGATACAGGCAGGTTGCTGCCATGACTTGTAGCAAAGATCCTAAGAGCAATCCTCTACATCCTTGGCTACATCCCAGCTTCCGCTGAAGAAGGTCATCGTGAACCTTATATAGTCCATTAACTAGGTACTGTAGGACCTCTGTCCTACATTCTTCAATGCGCCCTATCTTTGTTAGTATAAGCTGGCACGGACAAGGCAACATACTTGGAATATCTGCGCGGATTGGTAGATCAAATGTAGGCATGCCCTCGCAGGTATACCGAGCAGCTCTTTGTATACACCTTTGAAAGATGTCTTTATTCGCAAACACAAAAGAAACGAGAATGAGTTGTGCCAGTGTCTTATCCATTCTTTCCGGCAGTTTATAAGTCCCACCGTATGCCCAAAGCCATATGTCAGTACAGAACGAAAGTGCATCATAGCACTCTAGATCATCAACAATAGAAGCCATTTGTGATAGAAGATCTAATTGGGCAATCTTGGGAACGCCGCGGGGTTTTCCGTGTATGATTTTTAAGATCACCTCAAAGGCATGCACATCGAAAACATCCCCAAAGTCCCAATGATAAAGACCATCGTCTTGTTTGGAAGCTTCTTTGAAGGCGCTCGAGAACAACTTAGAAGCACGACGCGATGCAAGTGTCAGGTGCTTCTGAGAGCAGAGAAAATGTTTCTCGATGAATGTCGGCGACTCGGTGGTGCCAGCAGGTTCAGTGACTTCTTTGGACGGAGGAGGATCCTGCTTGGTTGCCAGGATGACTAAAGTGTCACCATTGGGGTCGATTGCAACGCAAGTATTTGACATGTTTGGTTGGCTGAAGTAATGGTGGGTAAAAGTGGTAGTAATGGCAGGAATAAAGAACAAAGTTCAGTTTCGTGCTGGGGAAAGGTCCCTCCCCTTTAAATGTAGCTAACTTGTCAGATCTCAGACTCTATATTTACCCCCCAATCATGGGGTGCCTTGAGACATTGACGGCGCATCTTGGGCCAGTAAAGAAAATCACACTTAACACAGCGGCTACAGAGGTGACTACCGCTTTGAGCGGGAAGGCGCTAAATATTACGTAACAATATGCAAGAGAACTGGCAGATAATAATTAGTAGACAGGCCTAATTAATTGTTCAGGCACACAAACTCATAAAAGTAATGGGCGCTAAATAACTCCAGACTATTGGTTGTAGATAAAGATGTCAATAACAGTCTCTTAAGATGATCCAAGCGCGAGGTTAAGATGAAGAAATTACGCTAAGATAAACATTATCGGAGTAATGCACGTGCGATAAGATATGGAAATCTGAACCGTACAGGCCACAACGTGAGTCAAAAGAACCTTGACAGTATTTGAAGTACCTGCCACAGATAATGCCAATATTCAACCGTACCGAACCAATAGCAGATAGAGCGGTTTCATCCCGACAAGCTCGAAGCTATGGGATGGGACTTCACTCAATAAGCTCGGAATTGAGGGACATGGGCTTCAAGAACACAAATCTCACAGACGTTGACTTTAGAGACCATACCAGTTATCTAGCACATTACTTGCACCAGCGAGGGCGCAAAGGCCTGCATTAGATCATTAGCAGATCGTGGACGCTGGTCCCGGTCTTCTCTGCTATCTTGAAATATGCTTCCAGGGCTCATTAAAAAAAGCTCGTAAAAACATAGACCATGATATTAATAGCATCTTCAAGTTGCTTGATCGGCAGCAACCACGAATTGCGCTCGGCGGGGCGGCAACCCGCTCTCGGAGTAGAAGGAACCGGAATTAAGGGTGTACGTGGAAGCGTTGGACAACGGTGCAGTAAAGTCAAGAATCGCAGCTCCAGAGGTGAACAGTGAAAGAATATACATAATCTGCCCCTGTTGCTGGTTCCCAAAGTGAAAAAGTCCTGGTCACGATTTCGGTAGACTTTTTCTACGTTGTGAAGGCGACCTTCTGGGGTAGCTTGGCGCAGCTCAGTAGCTCGGAATTCCAGAAGCTTGAATACCAGTCGGCGCTGTTGCGCTTCCGCTATCCCGATTGATTTCCGTGATCTGAACTCAAGCCCGATCGCTCAGAATCCGGCGTTCTTGTCGTGTTTTGTGTCGCTTCAATGGGGCAGTATGTATGTGATGTACGTCTACGCCACTCGCACGCCTGCTTCGGGCGAAGCTTGAAGCCGTCTGAAGGTGTCCATTAGAGAGATAGAAGATGATCACAAATTCCCGGAATTGAAATGGGAGACCCTCTTCGTATCGCAGCCGGTTATCGAAGATGTCGTTAGCACGAAGAAATCAACTAAACCATTATTGGAGGATATGCAAAGCCTCGAAAACACATACTCTGTGCGGCAGTTATAAGATTAACATAAGGGCCAAGATCTCTAGAGGAACCAGCGTCTTGCCGCTGTTGAGGATACCTGTGCGCCAGTACGGCTCTGCCGGCCTGGTTTCAGAGTCCGGGTATACAATAGCATAAGCCATTCTGATGGAGGTAGACTTCATGTTCGGGACTGGGTAAAACTCGTCACGCGCATTACGCTGTGCAAGTACTGGGTGTTAGTCTTGTCGCCCTCCGTCGTATACATTCGTGATCATTCGAGTGCTCTGCTCCATGGAACTTAGAGGTCTTAAATGCTAGAACTACTAGTTAGTAGCTTACTGGCTGTATTAGTTACCTGCACCTTGTAGGTCTTGGCGGCGGCACTGGCTGCACCAGTGCTAGGAGTAAGGTTATAAGTAGTTTAAAGAGGCTTTAGCCTTTAGTATATAAAGGTAAAGAATATTAATAAACATATATAGGTAAGATACTTATTACCTTTATTATTACCTAGAATCTTAATTTTAGCTAAAAAGTTAATATTTTAATAACTAACTTTAAAAATATATAAATAAGTAATTATTACTTTTTTATAAGGATAATTAAGCTTAAAGTATATAGAATATATATAAGGTAAAATGCTTAATAAAAGTAAGTTTATTAACTTAAAATAACTT